GGGCTTGTGAGAAGGGTAATATTTCTTGCTTTATAGGGAGGGGAACAGCACAGACAAGAGACAAAGACAGATAAGAATGAAATGCAAGAGATCCTATCTGTCTGTGTTAAGGCTACCTGGGATTCCACACTGAAAATACCAGCAGGGCAAAATAGAAGTCACAAGGCACATCCTCTCTTTCCCCATTTCTCCACTAAGTCTGAGATATTCCTCTCATGGGTTGGGGCTAGGCAACAGTCATCCTATTCCTCCCCAATTCAAGATAACCTCTTTTGTATTTTCCTTAGTAGTTTTTAAGAGAAGCAAAACGCCGTATGGGTTATCCAAATTCAAAGAAAACTCCCAGCGCAGGTAGAAAGAAAGCCACTAAGTCCTGACAGAGCCAAATAATCACCCCAGGCATTTATCTGGCGCCTTTCCCCTTCTCCAAACACACAGCTTTTTAATCCTTCAGCACAAGGCAGCTGGAAGGAGAGAGAGGGCTCAAAGAAGAGCAATAGTATCCCTGAAGCCACACAGGGCTCAGCATGAAAGATAGGAGCCTGATAGGAACAGGCTCCACTTAGGCTACCTCGAGAGAGTCTACTGGGCACATATGGGCAGCTGGTAATAGGTACTGGAGTAGGGTGGATGGTTGGTGTAGGAAAATGACCCGTCCCCATGGTTTCTGTTTTTAAAATTCTTTCCCTTTAAATGCTGGAACCGTGGCTCATTTTCTCAACTCCTGTGGGTCGGGTGGGAGGGGCTTGCTGGAATTTCGGTGAAGCTCCCACGTCTGTGGGTGTGGCTAGCAACTGACAGAATGGCTAGGGGCCCTAACTCCATAAAAAAATTCCAACACGCATTTTTCCCATTCCCCATTTCACCTCTTTCTGCACCAGGAGAAATGAAAAACAATATGGCTAAAGGGGAAGGGCAGAATGGACATTTTATTGCACACAGCAGTATAAACAGGACAAGAGTCAGTTTTGCAATGGTCTCTATACCAATTCTCCAGTCAATAGACATTTAACCAAACATCCTTTTTTCAGTTCTGGGTGAGAAACGGGATCTCAGGTATGAAAAGCTGGGATCCAGTCCATGGGGATGGTACCTCGTAAATGTCATTTAGTGTCAGTGAAGAAATGTCTGAGGGCCAAAGCCAGTTGGGAGGTGTCTCCTGGGGGTAGGGAGTTCCATCAGGAAAGCCAGGAATCTCTCAGGCCCATAAGGCAATAAAGGCCATAAAGGCAAACCCAGCAGCTATACAGCCCCATTTGGCTAGAGGGGCCTCAGGACTAGCTAGCTCCCTGGGGAGAATTTCTAGGAAGGTGACATACAGGAAGGTGCCAGCTGCCACACCTTCTAACACAGCCTGGGCTAAGCCTTGCCC